ATTACTAAATGTTAATTTAATATTAATCATATTGATATTAATCATATTAATAATATATTAATATGTAACATCTGAGTATTAGTACTACTTGACATTATTAGTACCCCAAGTACGTGAAGTATTAATACTTCCTGACGCTTCTCTTAAAGCAAAGGAAGGGGTGGAAATGAACAATTTGGAAAAAAGAAAAAGTAAAGAGAAATCCAGGATTCGGCTGGTTAGTGCAAGTCACCTTGAATAGAAGAGAAGAGAGAATAGAACAGAACAGAATATAGAACAGAACAGAATAGAATAGAACAAAATATAGACTAGAACAGAACAGAATATAGAACAGAATAGAATAGAATAGAACAGAATGTAGAGTAGAATAGAACAGAATATAGAACAGAACAGAACAGAATAGAATAGTAGAATAGAATATAGACTAGAACAGAACAGAATATAGAACAGAATAGAATAGAATAAAATAGAACAGAATATAGAACAGAATATAGAACAGAATATAGAACAGAATAGAACATTATAGAATAGAATAGAACAGAACAGAATATAGAATAGAATAGAATAGAATAGAGTAGAATAGAATAGAATATAGAACAGAACAGAACATAGAACAGAACAGAGTGCAGTGGGTCCTGCGGAAGTCCACCGCCTGTCTTTGGCGTCCTGCCACTGAGCTGGTGCAGAAGTTTTTCCAACATAACAAAACAGCTGTTAGCATGAAGGTGAATCTGGATGGCCCAGAATCTCGATTGGTGCCTTTTTTTAATTTATCTCAGCCATTTCCGGTGTTTGCAAGCGTCTTCATAAACAGAGCAGAGAGAAGATGGGATTTTTTTTGGAAAGGACAGCCGAGCACGTCAACACTCAGGGCCTCTTTCCAAGGCTTTTCCGATCCATTCATCACCAGCGGAGGCTATTTTCAATCTTGTTATCGGGGGCTCCATCTGTCACAGGCGCCTCTGGCGTCTTCAGTTCCCCCCCCACCCCAAGGCCAGGACGTTCCGAAAGCTCAAGGGTGGCACAGGCAGCATTCCCACCCCCACTCCAGCTGGGCCTCCCCAGAGAGCATCCAAAAGGTCCCCCCACACACACACACCACTGCAAGCAGGCCTTCTCTTGGGCTGAGGCAGGCAGCCACCAATGGCTAGCGTGGAATTGGCCCTGGAGCCAAAGCTGTGCAGCATGGGCTGGGGGGGGGAACTCTGTCCAACGTGCAAGATATGGCTGATGGCAGAGGCCTCCCTCACAGGACGGTTGTTCAGGCTTGTGAAGAGGACGCAGTGCGCCTCCAAGGGCTGGGCCACAATTCCAGGGATGTCTACAGTTAAGGGGGTGGCTCCAACCTTAAGGCCAAAGCCCTTTTCACGTTTGTCCTGTCAATCAAAAAGAGCTGGGCTTTATGGGATGGCTGTGGCTCCCTTACTGAGGTTTCTGACCCCTCCCCACAGATTCCCCCCCAGGCAATTCAGGAACTGGTGAAGTCCAGTCTAATGAAGAGAAGGACGAGGGGGGACAGGATAGCCGTCTCCCAATATTTGAGGGGCTGCCACAGAGAAGAGGGAGTCAAGCTGTTCTCCAAAGCGCCTGAAGGCAGGACAAGAAGCAACGGATGGAAACTAACCAAGGAGAGAAGCAACCTGGAATTAAGGAGAAACTTCCTGACAGTCAGAACAATTAACCAGTGGAACTACCTGCCTCCAGAAGCGGTGAATGCTCCAACACTGGAAGTCTTTAAGAAGAGACTGGACAGCCATTTGTCCGAAATGGTATAGGGTTTCCTTCCTGAGCAGGGGGTTGGACTAGATGACCTCCAAGGTCCCTTCCAACTTTATCATTATTATTATTATAAACTAAAAGAGAGAAACAACCTGGAATTAAGGAGGAATTTCCTGACAGTGAGGACAATTAACCAGTGGAACAACCTGCCTCCAGAAGCTGTGCGTGCTCCATCACTGGAGCTCTTCAAGAAGAGACTGGACAGCCACTTGTCTGCTTGAGCAGGGGGTTGGACTAGAAGACCTCCAAGTCCCTTCCAAAGTATTATTTTGTTAATTTTCCACTTCTTTCAAGCTTGAGATGGGTTTGCCCATCCAGCCCCCCGTGCTCTTCAGTGCCCCACTGATCCCTAGGGATCAGGCTGCGGACTCTGCCCAGCTTCTATTCTTGCTGCTCCTGGGTGGGGGGCTGCGAGACCCCTGGCTGGGGCGGCCTCTGCTGCCCGTCATTCCCAGCCCTTGGAGGGGGCAGAGAACACCCTACAAGCGCCTGCTCTGCCTGGACATGGGGGTCTCCCCCCCCTTCTGCACAGTGCAGGGCAGGGTTCGGCCCAGCCCAGCAGGGAGATGGCCGTAGGGGACTCAAACCAGGAATGGGGGGAAAAAAGGCTAATACAGCTGACAAATAAACACAAGCAATCCTTGACGTACGACCTCAACTGAGCCTCAAAGTTCCGTCGCTAAGTGAGACGTTTGTTATAAGGGACTTTTGCCCCATTTTACCACCTGTTAAATGAGTCCCTGCAACTGGTAAGTCAGCCACACGGTCGTTAAGTGAACCTGGCTTCCCCACTGACTTGGCTTGTGGGAAGGTCACAAAAGGGGAATCCCGTGACACACTCTCCCCCCCCCACGGGACGCTGCAACCCGTAGTAAGTGCCCGCCAGCTGCCCAGCCTTCCAGTTTTTGACCCCTTGACCACAGCGATTCTGCAACGTTGCATTAAGCCTGCGGAACGGCCCCAAGGCACTTTTTCAGCGCCTTCATAACTCTGAATGGACCTTAAGCGAATCGTCGTAAGTCGAGGACTCCCGGTAGACAAAAGGGCTCCACCGTCCTCGTTCGTTTTTTTTGAAATTTGCACCTTGTTCTGTTTCTGCTCTGAATTCGGGGTCTGCTGGGCAGGTGACCGTCCCTGAAACTGGGGGGGGGATCCCCTCCCTCCCCCCTCTCAGACTCCCCGAGAAAGAAAAAAAGAGGGTGGTCAATTGGGGGGGGGAGCAGGGAAAGTCAGGCAGAGGGTGGCTGCAGACTCCTTTACGCCTGGGGTCCTTTGGCATTAAACTCTTCACGGGAAGCCAGCCCCCCCCTCCAGGCCCGGGCGCTACTTCAAAGGGACCGGCTGCTTCCGCTGTTCCAAGAAGCACCCCCCCCCCCACGCGTGCCGCCGCTGCCCAGCCTTGCCCTCCTTGCCTTTGTGCTATTTTGAGCGCAGGGAGAAGTTCAGAGGCCAAAGGGCTTCCGCCCACGTCCTTTCCAGCTCCGGGGACAGTGGCCAAGCCTTCCTCTCCTGGGCGCTGTGGGCCCCCAGGCTCTCTGCCCCCCCCTCACTGGCTGCCACTCATGGCCAGAGGGGGCCTTCCCCCTGAACTGGAGGCGGCAATCGGCCAATGTATCCTCCCTCTGAATTTGGGGCCGTCCCTCTTCTACCTTCCCCTCATCAAGGTGCACCTTTAAGGTCTTTTTAAGTTGGCAGACATCAATCTGCAGGCTTTAAAACAGTCTTTCTCAACCTTGGCAACTTGGAGATGGGTGGACTTCAACTCCCAGGAGCTGGCTGGGGAATCCTGGGAGTTGGAAGTCCACCCATCTCCAAGTTGCCAAGGTTGAGGAGCACTGCTTTAAAACACCTGGCCTCCAAAGGGGGGCTGGGTTGAAGGCAATCCGTGTGAAACGTGTGTCTCTCTGTGTGTGTGTGTGTTTGTGTGTCTCTTGGCCCTCTGGGTGTGACTTGAGAGCTGTGGATGCTGCAGAGGGAGAAAAATCCCTGGGGTAATCTTTGAACTAATAAAGGAGAATATTTCTAGCTCAGGGTTGAAATGAGGGGTCCTTGGTGCTCTCCGAGCTGGGTGGCTTCCTTGCGGACGTTTCATTAGCCAAAGTAGGTAACAGCATCAGTGCTAGAAGGGAAGAGGGTTTGTGGAGAGAAGGAGGAGGAGGACTGTGGCGTCCTTTGTGGTCTCTGAGCCTGGTGGTTATCTTCCAGACGTCTCATGACCCAAATAGGGAACATCATCAGTGCTAGAAGGCAGTGGGGTTTGCAGAGAGGAGGAGGAGGAGGAGGAGGAGGAGGAGGAGGACTGTGACGTCCTTTGTGGTCTCTGAACCTGGTGGTTATCTTCCGGACATCTCATGACCCAACTAGGTAACATCATCAGTGTTAGCTGATGTTATCTAGTTTGGGGCAATGAAACATCTGCAAGGAAATAAGCTCAGAGAGCAGCAAGGAGCCCTCCCATTAAGCACAGTCTGCATTTTAGGCTCTTGCCAGATTCAGGCTGAAGGAGGTACTTGATCCAAGTATTTGACTACAACGCCCTCTCCCCAATTCTCCACCCTCTGAAAGAAAAGTGTGTTTGTGTGTACCTGAAGAGATTATCTCCAGAATAATTTGCCTATAAAATGAGAAGATCTCTTCTGGAGCCAGAGCAGATTGAGGGCGCCGAGCAGCAGGGAAGCCGGCGTGAGCTTCTGAGGTCTGGAGGCCTTTAGCTTAAATCCAGAGCTGCCTTCCTCTTGTGTAAATGCTGAAGTTCTCTAGTGCCGGTCCTGGCTGTGCAATTCGG